TATGTCGTACTCTTCCTAAGTCTCGAAGACTCAAGTGATGTCCTGTTAATACATTACAAAACAATTTGTTATATATAACAATCATAATATAATATACTTATATAATATAATATACTATACTTATATAATATAAAATACTTATATAATATAATATAACAAATTTTAATATAATATAATATACTTATATAATGTAATATAACAAATTTTAATATAATATACTATACTTATATAATATAAAATACTTATATAATATAATATAACAAATTTTAATATAATATACTCTACTCATAAATATAAAATACTTATATAATATAATATACTTATATAATATAATATAACAAATTATCATATAATATACTATACTTATATAATATGAAATACTTATATAATATAATATAACATTTTATAATATAATATACATATATAATATAACAAATTATAATATACTATAATATACTTATATATAATATATTTCGGTAACTTTTTTTATTTATTATAATTATTTCATAAGTAATAAAATGACACATTTAAAAAAAAAAAAAGGATGTCGCGAGTAGCGACTTAACCCACAAGGGTCTCTGTTTTTCTCGCGAGTCACACATTATTTTTATGGAATATTTGAGTTCGAATGTAGTCTAATAAAAATAAATAACGCACATCAATCCGCATAATGTCTTACAAAAAAAAAAATCATTACACATTTATTTAGAATTGGCGTAATCCAACCTAAGCTTAGCCAATTCGTCTGATAACTGCACCGCCTGCAGAGGATCATGAGCTGCTAAACCCCGCAGAGTCCTCGAGGTAAGATTGAAAGCACGGTCCATCCACTACAAAAAAAAATTGAAGAATAAAAAATATATGCTCATTATTTATTAAAATAAAATTTATTCTAATCAAACATTAATTAATTAAAAGTTTGCGAATGACTTACATAGTCGGTGTTCCCACGCGTAGAGACCTCGCTCTCGTCAGGCAGATTCTCACCCAAGACAGTAGGATGGGAAACCCGACGGTACCACAGCAAGTACTCCGCATCCGCCTCCCCTCGATCATCTGTGGCGACCCTACACATGCTGGTGTTGACAGTCTGCGACATCGGTAACTGGTTCCACATATTTACTGCGCCGACATCAGGATGCTCAACTTTGTAAAGCCTCGACTGCCAACCACGGTATGTATAAGTAACGGATCAAACATTTTTTTTTATGATTATAATAATTGTTAGTTAATCATTCATGATTATAAAATTCTAATTAATCATGTATAAAATTCTAATTAATCATCTATACTACCTGCCAAGCACGATTTACAGCGGTTGGCGTCTGTATAGGGGGAGGAATGGTCTGGACATACCCCAACTGCCGCAGAAACCGTACAGGATAGTACGGCTCGACAATATCGCGGTACCGAATCAGTCCGCAATAAAGAGTCCTCTGCTCTATCTTATCTGGCCAGGAGCTGCTGTATGGCGTCTATTGCACCTGTTCACAATGGCATAAAAGCATTTATAAGAATATTTATATTATTTAAAATAACGAGTAATTAAATAAAATAACTTAACGTACACTGGAGGCAGTGAGTCTGTCCAGCTTCCGACGGATAGACATGAGATGGTCCTCTGACCTATGACCCACCCCTGCTTTCCACATCCGAGCTCGTGCGGACTCGTTAGGTCCGAGGGGTAAACGCCCCTCCTGGGGTCGAAAATCAAGGAAATACTCGTAAATCCAAGACTGCAGAAGAGTCAAGCAGCCGGAAAGTTGTTTGGAGTCCCCTCTGCTGGCAATACCTAACTGTCGGTATAAATATGCCAGCGTAGCCGACCCCCAGGAGTAACCTCCAATGGCATCCAAGCCGTCAAGCACCTCATGTAGGAGCTTCGGACTCACTCTACTACCACTCTTGTCCACGAACAACGTGGTAGCCAGCAGCACCCAAATCCAGGCACCAGCCTCATCTGAAGTCAACTTATTTTTACCCCTGAATATCTCCCCAATAGAGGCTTCGGCCACCGAACCACGCTGCCACAATGACGCAATTAGGTCAGGCTTCGTGACCGAAAGTATCTCCATGCAGTAAGCCTGGCATGCCTCTGAATCCGGGTCCTCAACGACCACACCTCCCTCAACAGGAATGTCCAAAATGGCCCGGACATCGTGCAACATAATGCTCATCTCACCAAAAGGCAGGTGTAACGAGTTAGTATCAGGCTGCCATCGCTCGACAAATGCAGTATTCAGTGGAGTGTCCAAGTGGACGTGCATGGAGTCTGCCAGATGTGACAGCCCGGTCTGTCTAATCAGATCAAGTGCCTCGGCAGACATTTCACCTCGCCAAACTTTCAGATTTTCCGCAGCTCGCTGTCTGTTCTGGCACTTCAGTAAGTCTCGCATCTGTTCATTCCACTACGTGCCCTAGAAAGCTAGGGGTCACACTCCCATCCATGGGCCCACCGGGAACTGGACCACTAACGATCCAGTCTGCCCCATCATCAGTCCTAGATCGTTTGCTAGTACCTACATTAGAATAGAACAGACAAATATATAAATACATAATTGAAATAATGTCACTAACAGTACTGAATAATTTGTTGCGATTAAGTCGAAATATTAATGTCAAACGAAATAAAAATACTTAAATTATTTACCTGAGGATCCAGTGCTAGCAAAACGCCCACCAGCCTGTCGTGGAATAGCAGGCCGAACAGGAGCCGTAGGCTATGCAGGAGCCACAGGCTGTGCAGGAGACGCATGCTGTGCATGAGGTGTATGCTGAGCAGGAGACGCATGTTGTGCAGCAGGTGTATGTTAAGCAGGAGGTGTATGCTGAGCAGGAGGTGTATGCTGCGGTGGGAGTCCAGGAGAAGAAATATCGTACGCATCGTCATATGATGCGGACTCGTCAGAAGACTGCTCTGTCTGGGCTACCGACTCATCAGCATAATATATCTGCTGACCATACGGTGCTGGTGGACGGGGTATCGAACTGCTTGCCTGGCTAGCATAATAATATCTTTGCTGATCATGATCGTACAGTAATGGTCCGGGGACGGGGACTCTGGAACTGCCTGCCTGGCCATACCTTGCTGACCAACCGGTACGGCTGGTGCGTGGAGTCTCGAACTGCCGGACTGGCCAACCTGACCAGTTTGTAACATCCGACGACCGAACGCATTTATACCACGACTTATAACGTGTCGGGTTCCAGAACCGTGAATAATATTGTCGGTCGGGTCGTCACGGTCAACTTGTTCAGGTATACGAATACCCTAAATGAACAATTTAAAGTAATAATTAGTAAATGTTTTTTTATTTATATAATACGATAATTACATATATTCATTTATATAATAACATTATTATATATATATATATGTTTTTATACATTTATAATAAATTATATACATATTTTTTAAATTATTACATATATATTTTTAAATGCTAATATATTAATTTTATAAACTAACCAGTTCATTTTATATTTATTTTTCTTTTATATTATAACTATAATTATTTAAATGCTATTATTTTAATTTTATAATATTCAAATAAATATATTATAATATTTTTTACTTTATTAATGTCATATTTTTTTCTTTTATATTATATTTATTATTAGGCTAATATTTTGAGTTTTTAATATTCAAATAAATATATTATAATAATTTTTTCTTTATTAATGTAATATTTTTTTCTTTTATTTCATAAATATTATTATTATAATTTTTTATGTTATTTGTATTATTTTTATATTATAATATTTATAAATTTTTATTACTATAATTATTTTTATTATTTAATTATAATATAATTTAAATAAAATAAAAAAAAAAATAAAAAAACGTCCGGCCGGTTCGTGACCGGCCGGAGGGGCTGGTTCAGTCACCGTACGTCCGGCCCCCGAAATCGGCGGTCCAGCCGATCGTGCGGCCCGGTCCGGCCGCACGTTTTAGTTGTCGACCGGTAAAGCCGACCGGTCGCCCCACGAGACGTACGGTAGTCACGGCCGCACGTCCCGCCCCGTCCGGTCCGACCGGCCGGACGCGGGTCCAGATTTTTAAAAATTAATTTAAAAAATAATTTAAATTGTAAAAAAAAAAATTACCTTCTTAGAGAAGAACGCTTTGCCGAGACCGTAGGATTTTTTCAACATTTTTTCGGAACTTTTTTGACGCTCGTATGGCTCGTTCAAGATTCAGTTTTAGAGAGATAGATAAATTAGAGAAAGAGTAGAGAGAAAATGAGTAAAAGGTATTTTCGTAATTGGAGGGGACGGTAACTAGTAATAGGGGGCAGTAAATAGCGATTCACAATTGAAATGCTCGCTCTTACAATAGTATGCAAACTTGGGAGCGCAATTTTAAATTTGAACTTGTGATCTAATTTTTTTATTCAAATTCTAATTCATTGTCATCTTGCATGTCGAATCGTTGATGGCTACTATATTCTTCACTCCCATTATTCTTTCCAGCTTTAGTGGTCATCCTTGCCCTATTAGCTTTTGGATACACCATGTAATCTGGTTATGTTTCTGTGGTTCAAAATTTTTAGCCTCAGCTAGCTCGAGATGGGCGCTTTATGGAGATATTCGCTGCAGTTTAACCTCTGAAGTTTTCAATCTCTTGGACAAACAAAATGTTTTATCCTTCATGTGTGATAGACAGATTTTCTGTGTTTCTTTATTTAAACCATATTTGTTTGGGTCTGGTCTGGTCTGGTTGATAGAATTTGCAAATCAGTGTTAGGAACACGTTATAAGTAAAAAATGGAATCGAAAATAAGGCTCATTTTTCTCCATGGCCGAGTACATGTCATTATATACACCCAACATTCAATCCGAATTCTATCAAAATACTGAGTAAAAAATGGAATCGAACGAAACAATCTCGTCAGGTTTGTGAATCTTTCACTAATCCATCCAACATTTCTAACAGAAGACCTATCACACTTGGGTTTGCTAATTCATATTTTCTCAATATCATTGCCAAATCCTTTCAGTTAAGATTCCGATGAGTCGAGCCTGTCTAATAAAGATTGAGCAAGATTACTGAAGCATACATTGACTTCACCTGCTGCAGCAAACCTTCTGATGGCTTCTAATACCTCGGGTTTTAGGATATCGTCCTTAGTGGTTGCATTATAAAGATAATATAGTGAAGCAAGAGCATAGTTCACCTGCATATATATATTGAAGATTCAGAGACATAAAACCACCAAACGAATATAACAGTTTTCCTCTGTTTTGATTAATGTTATCGGATTAAACTGGACAGTCACATAGGTTAATGACATTAATGATTACACTAGACAATCATCTGAACATATATAGAATCGGATACATAACAATGATTAGGTAGCTTTCAGTGAGGCCAGTTAATTCTCACTTCGAATTACAAGGTGGAAAAATCAAATCCATCAAGAAGGTTGGACTTAAAATATTGAAAAAAAATAAATAAATTGTTGTCCATAAAGATTTTATATTCAGTTGAACATTCTTTTACCGTGTTCCTGACAGGACTTGATAGGCACTGGATGATAAGAGGAATCCCATCACAATGAACGATAACTGCAGCATTGGCTGGATCTACATGTTTGAAATCATTTGGAAAAGCAAACTGAGAATAAGTAAATACAGAAATAAAAAATCAGATGAGAAAAATTGAAGTTAATCTTTACCTGCACAAGCATTGCAGATTCCTCCAATGGCAAATTCCACGAGCCTCTCGCTAGGCTCTGTTAAGCAGTCCAGAAAAAGCTCCAAAACATTTAGCTGCTCAAGAGACATATTTATGATTAATCATGTAAGAGACATATAATTTCCTCTCACTTTAAAACATATGCGAGGAGGTCAAATACCTGGCGTAAAAAGGTATAATTGTATGGATCATAGGAAAAATTTCCCAAATTTGCAACAATTTTCTCTTTTGTTTCTGCATGTCATTCATAGTGTATTTAAGATCTAAAGATGTGAGCAAAGTATGCAGAAAATAAAATAAAAAATTCAAAAAAAAAAAAAAGAAAAAAAACTAACAAAGCTTGCCACACTCAATATGAGGGTGACATAAACGCCTGTATACCACATCAATGTTCAAAGGTTAAAGTGCCAACACTAAAACTCAAGAACACAGACAGCTCTGTAGCTTTTAAAAACCAAAAATATAAGTGCAAAAAGCTGTATGGAAGGTTGATAGGTCATAGGCATAATAACACAATTCAGATAAGCAGTTAACATTAAAACAACGGGATGTATTTCAATATAGCTAAAATGAAATTATAAACACAAAAATGCTTAGGAAAAAAAGAAAAACTTAATTTATTGATGAATTACATTTTTGCATGGCTTTGTTAGTATGTGAATTACTAAATGTCGACATGAAACAAGTAGTTGCACAGTGTAGTATTAGACTTGAAGAGCAGCTCCACCATTGGTGCATTACTGATATGATCAATCAGCACATGTTCCCTAAGGGTATACGTATCTCTAAGTATGACATTTCAAAACATAAGTATGCGTTTTCTTTAAAAAGTATGACGGGTCGGACCCACCTACAGTTAGGCCGCCTCCCACAAGAATTTGTGTTTTACAAGACGCTTCATTCACATAGCACATTTGCCCCCGAGTTTCTATTAGGTCTAATAACTATAATATCATCCAAGATCCAAGAATAATCAATTTCATCGTAAAAAAATCGAACTTTCTCACCAAAATACAACGAACAAAACTGTTGACGTAGAGTTTATGGGCCAAACACTAAGTTCAAAACTTTACATCAGTCAGTCTAATTCGAAACCCCAGCTTGAATTAAAACTTCGTACCTTCACTCGATGCATTCTGAAACTGTGAGACCAGCTCCTACACCACATGAATTCAAAAGGGATGATAAATTAAGAGACAAAAACAAATGAAACAAAATGCAGAATTGAGCTAAAATACGCGTAAGCACCATCATCACCTGGAGGTATTGCAGTCTTGGGCTTCCATATTTTCCAGTGCGCTCTTTTTGTCTAGCATCGTTTGTAAACATGGCTCTGAAAACAAGCAAATGCCTCAAAAATCATTCTAACTCCATATGAAATGCAGAAGAGACAGGGAACGTGGGTGAAAACAAATCTGTAAAACGGAATTAGGTTTCAGAATAAATCAAACCTATTTCGGATTTAAACCTGAAACCAAAATCAAGAATTGGTGAAGAAGCAAGAAAATGCCTCAAAAATCATTCAAACTCCATATGAATTGCAGCACAGACAGGGAACGTGGGCAAAAACAAATCTGGTTTAGCAGACATATTAACTGAATTAGGTTTGAGAATAAACCAGACCTATTTCTGATTTAAACCCCGAAACCAAAATCAAGAAATGGTGAAGAAGTAGCGGATTTTGGAGATATTTCTCCTACCGGTCCAGTTGAAACACAGTTCAAATTCTTATGAGCAGGTGAAAACGGCATCGTTTTTTAATTATCTAGACGTCGAAAAATGGCGCAAGATAGACATGTCAAAACGGCGATCGAGCCTGTAAATGGGCATCCCCTGGCCCAACCCCGCCACGAATGCGAGGTGGCCCCCCAAGTCCGACAAAAAAAAAATTGAGCTTGGAGAAAAAGTGGGTCTATCCCAAAGAATTTGGGTTTCATACATAGTACTGCTGCTGGGAGCTTTGAGAGGCTGAGAGAGAGCTCTCATTTGAACTAAACAAAAGAGCAAAACAATTGAAATAGAAATTCTACAATTTTCAAAGAACACCACCATGCCTAATGCTTATAAACCAAAACAGCATAGTATGACGCAGTTAAATGCTACATGTGTGCATGAATTTTCACTTCTAAGACCTTAATTAACTTCAACGAATTAAATTATCTATATCAGCCTTATATTACCAGCAATAACTTCAAAGAGTTAAACTGCAGTTAAGTTGTGATATGCTATCTTTGCCTTATCCTTACCAGCATCTCAGCAATCTCTTCCTTATTCGCTTGCAGCTCTCTGCGCCGCGCCGGTGCCACCGCGGCACCGCAGCCGCCCGCCTGTCTCGCAGTGGCAGATCTCGCTTCCTCGCCCGCTGATGGAAGCTCCGTCGTTCCCCGTCACCGTGCTATCGCCAGCCGCCGCCGCAGCTATGGGTTGACTGAGCGGTTGAGAGTTTGAGATATAGGTTTTGTAATTTTGGTAGTCTCAGAACCTTTCTTCTCGGTTCATGTTCTCACAATCCCTACTATCCCTTTCCTCCTATATATTAATCCAGAATGCCCTAACTGGTTGTTTCTAGTGCTTCAAAATCCTATGTGCCAAAATTAGGCTTGAATAATTTTTAATTTAATTCCAAAGCAAAAAATAAATTGGTTCGGATTACCATAAATATGTTGATTAATTATGGTCATGTTACATGCATTAATTGCATTTTAATATCATTTCTTGTTATAACTATTGAATTGTATATGTATTTTAAAAGTTAATAACTTTTGTATTTTTTATCAGTTTTACATATGCAATATATCAAATTAATCTTCTTTCGATGAACTTAGATTTAACATCCATATTGTATGTATAAAAAAAAAAATTATATTTATCTTTATAACAATAATAAAATTAATTTTTATATTAATTAGAAAAATAAAATTATTTATCAACTAATATATTTATATTTCAAGTAGTTATATGATATAAGTTATAAAAACTAATATAATATAACACATGTAAGTCATAAGTAACACATATCATTCTAAAAAATATAGTAATATATTTATTTTTCTTTTATAAAAAAGTAAACTAAATTTATTGTAGTTTTCTCATTAATTTTAAAATTTAAGAATAATTTTTTAACAAACACCCGTGTAATACACGGGTGTTGTACTAGTCCTATTACAATTTGCAACAAATTTAAAAAAAAAAAAACAAAAAAACAACGGGCCGGCCCGTGGCAGTCCAATCAAAACTCGTGACCCGGCGTGCCAATCCAATTAGCGTGCCTTCAAAATAGGGCCCAACCCACCTTTCGGGCCGGGCCGGGCAGGCAGCCCGGGGCCGAAGCATCTTTTGAAAAGCATGATACGTGCAAAGCTCTATTGGGGGTTAAGCTAGACATGGTCAAAACTTATTCCAGGCCAAGTGTTGGTCGGTTCCGTGAAACAGCTGTTTCGAGCCCATGTGATTCACTAATAAATAAATAAAAGAAAGGATTTAATTGTCGGTTTGGAATTGACCCATTGATTCAAAAAGTATATATATGTGGTTCGAAATTGACCAGTCAAACCACGAGCTCAGTTTAAAACCCGTTGACCATGGGCCGGTTCAGGACCGATTCAGCTCGTGGTCACGTCTAGTTTGAGCCTTGTGATTCTCTACACTAGCAATCATGTTGTGCATATACATAAATATAAATAAAATGTTATAAGTTATATTTGTAAATATATTAAATTATAAATTAGATAATGGACATATCATATTTTTAAAATTTAATCATTACTAAAATTAAAACAATATGCATATAAATTATTTAAGTATCTATGGATCACTATATTTTAGTGGTTATAAGTTAATAAAATCAATCTTCATGAGTTAAAGAAATGGGATATGTATGTAAATGTAATCAATTTTTAGTGTTTTTTAGCATATATATAAAAAGTTTAAGGGTGAATTTCAATTGAATTTTTTCGCTATTGAATCAACATACATTATGTGAATATATGTATATATATGTTGATCCAACGATAATAAACTCAATGACTGCTTATCAAAACAATCGTCAGTAAAACGAATGAATCTAGTTTAACATATTATTTGTTCGTTTTTTCATATTTATTCAACTTTTCACACGGTTACATAGCTCAATAAGTCCATCAACCATAGAGTAAATATATATTTTTTTCTTAAAAAAAAAACAAAAAAAAAGATGCATTGTTTGATTAAAAAAAAAATAATAATAATAATGAAGTTGAGGGTAGAGCTATATGGACCAAAGGAGGAGACTAAACTAAAAATTAGCTAGGGGCCCAACTCATAATGCTTTTGTATAGAGAAGAGGGTCCCCTCCTTTTAGATTGGACTTTGAAAATGTCTTGATCAAGGTTGTTTATATGCAAGAATCACCTAATGTGTGTTGAATCTTGAAACAACTAACTACTTCATCATTAATCACTTGCTTGAACAACAACCTAACATGGAACATCCATGCTAATATCTAATATCAAATGTTTATATACTTTAAAAGGAAATTATATAAACAAATTAAAGATGTGACATTTCCCAATATCATTATTTATTTTTTGTTTAAAAAATTCGTAGTGTTGATTCACTTAACCGTTAGTCTGTCTTATACGTCAATTTGTGTAAACTATATCAATATCCATTTGTTTTTAAGTACTTAGGATCTAATTAAATTCCAATGATTTGTTTTAACTTGTGGGGTGCATTGTGGAGTTATATATATATATATATATATATATATATATATATATATATATAATCCAAATGCAATTGAAAATCCATTATCTTACTTTGAAGGCAATTTATATAGTCCATGTTTTTTTTTTTTTTATTTATCACAGGAAAAGTGACTGTAAATCAAGAAGCCCATATATTATAAAATCTGCAGCAATCAACTTGTTAAAATTTTTCTGTTGGAACTTATTTTAGTTTTCTTAGTAGGGTCCATATTTATGCCACAAGCCCACTCTCTTTATTATTATCTGCACAAGTTGTGGTATGGGCCCCATTTATATATTGTAATGGTATATATAGAATATAGTTTCATTTATTTCATATTGTATGGATAAGGGTTTAGTCAGTACAAGAAACTATTAATTAAGATATATAAATACATGCAATAGAAATATAAATAATCATAGATACAAGAAACTATGTTTGGTAAAACTAGCTGATAGTTGATAAAAATATAAATAATCATAGATACAACAAGTTATGTTTGGTAAAACTAGCTGATAGCTGATAAGATAGCTTATAACTTATCAGTAATTTCTTAGCTTAGAGCTTATAACTTATGACTTATAGATGAAAAACTAGCTTATATGATAAAAGTGTTTGGTGGAATTAGTTGACAATCAGCATGAATACAAAATTCAACTAGCTTTATTTGAAAAACTACCTAAAAAAGCTTATCAAATAAGCTCGAGCTTTTTAAAAATTTTGTCCTACCAAACAAGGCTTATTTGAATACAAAGAGCTTATAAACTAACCAAATAAGCTATAAACTATAGCTTATTCGTCTACCAAACATAACCGAAGACTAGTGTTCGACATACATAACGATTAGTCAGTTGATTTTTTCAACAGATGTGCATACTTTCAATTTAAAATATTATACTCTAAAAATAACATAAGTATAATTTTTTGTGACAAAAGTATAAGAGAACGAACTAACTGAATGGTTAGGCTAGTAAATAAAATTTATGTACAATTATATTCACATTTGGTTAATACATTTTCAACGTGGACTTGAGAATTTTTTTACTCTGACTAGAAATTACCCGTGCGATGCACGGTAGGGAATATTTCTAAGCATTTTTTTAAAATTAAATATTAAATTTAATGAACTTGTTATATTTGTGACAAAAATAAACATGTTGGACGCAAACAACAAAATTTATAAATTATTGAAAACTTCTTTGTATACAACGTTTTTGGTTTGATTTGGGGACGAGTCATCGTCACCACAAACTAAAATTTTCAAACCGCTTCGATTGGTGACATGGGATACAACAACGTATAACTGTCCATGGTTGAACACAGGCTTCTTAAGAAACAAACCAACATGAGACAACGATTGTCCCTGGCTCTTATTGATAGTCATGGCGTAAGATACCATAATATAAAACTGACTCCTCTGGAACTTGAAAGGAATTCGAACATCAGAAGGAGTAATAGCCATTCTATGAAGCAACACCTTCTCGCCTGCGTTATCCCCAGTTAGTATCTTACACTCGATAACATGAGTTGAGAGTTTTGTGATAACCAACCGCGTCCCATTGCATAGACCCATGGAATGATCCATGTTACGCAACAACATGACG